CCCTCTGTGCAGGGGCACAGAACTGGCTTTTCTGGGGGTCCTCGGCGGGATGCCAGGAGCGCCAACACACTGGAGGACCCTCTTTTTGGAGTAGGGCGGTGTTGGGTCACACCTGGTGATGCTCAGGGGACCACATGACATGCCGTGGAGTGAACCTAGGGCAAGTACTTTGCCTGCTGCCCCATCTCTTCGGTCCTAGTCAGACCTTCTGGGCAGCCGACTTGCTTGAACCAGGGTGGGCAAGAGCCGTGAGGGTTACCTGCCACCCTGGAGAGGTTCTCCCCCTCAGTCTGCAGGCCCTGGCTCCGGGAGCCTCGGGGCAGCAGGAAAGGATGGGAAGTGCTTTGCTTCCCAGAGGCCAGGAAGATTCCTAATAAAATGATTAAAAAATGACTGCAGGCCCTGTGTTGGCCTTCCCAGCATTTTCTTCCTCCGTCCAGGAAGCAAACGTGGCCATTTGGTCTGGCCCACCCTCGGGGAGCTGTGAACTTCCCTTCTGGAGCTGTGGAAACCCTTTTAGAAAGTTTAACTGGTTTAAGCCGGAGTGATAGTACACGGTAGACACAGGCTCTATCCCTGGCACCTCACAGGGTTCCCTGAGCCCAGCCAGGAGTCGGCCCTGAGTACCACTGGGTGTGGTTCCCCAAACAAAAAATCAAATAACAGAGAACTACAAAAATACCCCAGGAGCTCCCTGGGGCCCTCTTGCTCCTTGGCTCCCCGGAGGGTGCTGCTCAGGAGACCCTTGCTCCTCTGAGTGCTCCCCGGGAGTGGCCAGAGCCCGATGTTCCAGCAGCTGCCCACAGAGGGTATGGCTTTGCCCTATCTGGGGAAGTTTGTTTCTGGCCCCTACTTGGGTGTTTTTGTTTTTTTGTGGGGGAGGGGGTAAGTTTGGGCTTCACCCAGGGCTCAGGGCTTCCTCCTGACTCTGCTAGGGATCCCTCCTGGGGTACCCTTTGGGTGCCACGGTTAGACCTGGGTCAGCTGTGGGCAAGGTAAGTGCCCTCCCCATTGTTCTATGCTCTGGTCCCCCCTCCTAAGTTTGAGGTCACCCTTGCACACCCTGCGTCTCATGGTGGCTGGAAGGGCATGTCCCAGGGGTCCCCCGGCCACTGAGCCTGCCATGATTCCGCCTCCCCCCCCTTTTTTTGGGGGGGTCATACCCTGCGATTCTCAGGGGTTACTCCTGGCTCTGCACTCAGGAATTACCCCTGGTGGTGCTCAGGGGACCCTATGGGATGCTGGGAATTGAACCCGGGTCAGCCGCGTGCAAGGCAAACGCCCTCCCCGCTGTGCTGTCGCTCCAGCCCCTGCCTCCCCCTCTTGAGGAGTCGTGGTCCCCCATGCACGTTTTCCCCCTCGCCAGCGTCTTCTCTTGCTCCCTCCTTCCTCCTTCTGCCCGCAGAGCCATTTCCCACGAAGCCCCATCTCTGGCCAGGGTCCACCCCGCCCTGGGCAGCGGGGGGCTTTCGGCCGTGTTGACTTTAGAACACATTCAGATTTCTGTCTTCAGACTCCGAGACCGGGCCGCGCGGGCTTCCTTTGGGAACATTGCTTGAATACCAGCATATTTGGAAGCCCGCTGCCTTCTTCCTCTCAGATGCTCCAGCCGCTGATGAGAGCCGCCGCTGGGGGAGGGGGCTGTGTGTGTCTGAGCTTGGGTGGTGTGACCGCATTACCACACGGGGGGGGGGGGAGACCTGTGGGACAGTCGGGGTGGGGCCCCCTGGAGCCCGCTGGTCCTGGGTCGGCTGGGTTCCCACGGTGTTCAGGAGCCCTGAGCCCCGGTTTCTCCATTCCGGAAAGTGGGGCTGGGAAGTGAGGTCTGTCAGGCCTGTTGAGCCGCTATGAGGGTCTGTCTCGCGAAGCCGAGAGTTGCTCCTCTCAGGTGCCGTCTCACCTCCCCGAGCCAAAACATTCAACCACCAGCAACGCACGCACGGGGCCTGTGCCGCTCCGTCCCCGTGCGCTCGCTCGGGTCCTGCTGTGGGTGGCACGCAGAGGGCGTGGGGCGCCCTGGCGGACGGAGAGCAGGTGGGGCTCAGGGACACTAGCACTGGGGTGGCAGCCACGTTCCCCACCGCTCTGTGCCTCAGTTTCTCTTCCCTCAGAATGGGGATGATTGGGGCCATCGGGAACGGAGGCAGGAGGGCAGTACACGCAGTTCGCCAAAGCCCCGACCTGACTCCCCCGAGGGCCCAGGCGGAAGTGCCCGCTGGGCGTGGCCCTGGCCCAGAGAGGGATTTCTGGGGGGAAAAGAGCTGGGGCAGGAGTGGGGCGCTCCCACCTCCCTGCCAGGTGACTCCTGCAGGCTCAGGGCCCGGAAGGAGCTGCAGGGAAGGGCTCGTCCTCCTCATCTGGGTGGCCTGGCCTGGCAGCTCGGGGCACTGCCACAAGGCTGTGTGGTGCAGCCCCCAGCCCCTCCCAGCCCTCCCCACAGAGTCCATCCGCTGAGTGGACACCTGGGTGAGCGGCACAGCCCCGACGGCGGACACGGCTGAGCTCGCGCCCGGCGTCCTGAGGGGCCAGCGGCGCCTGAGGCTCATGGAGTGGGAATTTCTCCGTGTCCACAGTGCCTGCGGTTGGGGGCTGCGTCCTTCTCCCCGACAGCAAGGGATCCCGCTCCTGCTGGGACGCGAGGCTCAAAATAAACATGTCTTTATTTGGGACTCCACATCCTTCCTCAGAGGAAGGCTCAGGAGGACATTTGTACGAAGCACAGGGCCGAGCTCAGGGCTATTTTTAATGACGCCTTTGCTTAGCTTTTTTTCAAAAACTCCTCCCCGCCTTCCCCTTCCCTTCCTTTTTGTCGTGTGGTTTTGAGGATGACCCCGTTGATGGGGGTCACACCCGTGCTGTCAGACTGCTGTGCCCGCCAGGATCTGCTCAGGCCCCTTTGCTGCATGCGTGCTTAGGGCCAGATGCCAGCAGAGCGCCCAGCACCCTGCCCCGCACACGGGCGCTTCAGGGTGCATGCGCGGCCACTGCCTGGGCGGTGCCTTCGGGCCCGGCGTCTCCTGGGCAGGGGGTCTCCCGAGCCGTGCTTAGGGCTCTGTGTGTGGTGACCCGCTGAACGGGTGCGCCAGTGGGCCCGCAGTGCCGGGACGGAGCCTCCGCGCTGTCCCCGGGAACAGCGGCCTTTCCTTTGCGCAGCTGTGACGTGTTTCGTTGGGAGCGGGAGGAAATGATGGCGCCTGAGTGTGCCGCAGGAAGGGGCAGACACCTTCGAGGGGCTTCCTGTCCTCCCCCTGAGCTGCAGGGCACAGACGGTGGACACCGGTGGACCGCCCCGACAGCAAGGGATCGAGTAGCACAGGGGACATGGGGCCCGGAGGGGGAAGCTTCCGAGGGGCCAGGGGTCTGCTGCCCTAGCCCCCGTCTCTCCTCCCCTGTGGGTGGGGCTGGGTTAAACTGCCGCCCCCCCCCCACGCAGCCCCCAGCTCCCAGATGGTTCCCTCCTGCACGCTCTGGGGAGGGGCCCTGTGGGGAGAGGAGCCCCAGTGAGGCCCTGCCGTGCCTCCGGGGGACTGAGTCAGCCGTTGCATCCCGGCCTCCCTGGGGGCCGCCGTGAGTCAGAACTGGCCAGCCTGTGTGGGCGCCGGGAAGCTGTGCGCTGGCGCAGGACCCCCGAGCAGTGGCCTCTGCAAGTGGGAGGTGGCACACAGCGCCCCCAACAGAGGAGGTGCCCCCCGCCCCATCCCTGCTCCCTGGAAGGCGCTTTCATTGGCCAGCTGCTGAGGAGGGGACCCCCCCCCCCCACGAGAAGCCCTCTGACCCCTTCCAGGGTCAGGCTCCTGTCCTGCTTGCAGTTTCTCCTCCTGCTGTTTTCCCTTTGTTCTGGCCTCAGGAGCAGAGAAGCAGAAGCTGTGTGGGCCCCTCATTCAGAGCCGGAGGGCCACAGGGCATGGGGGCTGGGGCGTGCATGGCATGCCCCCCCGGACCCGCCTCTGCCACTCTCCCAGACCCTGATGCTTGTCCCTGAATTTCTGGCCCGGCTCTCGGAAGTCCTGGAACTGGGATATGGGGGTGGGAGTGCCTGGGCAGCTCCTCCTGCGTCTGTCTGCGCCCCTGCTGGTGAGCGCAGCCAGGCCATGTCCTCCAGGGACGGGGCATGCTGGGGACAGCCGCTTGGCTAAGTCTGTTGTTTCATTCCTTTCATTATTTCAGTTTTGTGTTCTGGGCCACGCCCAGTGCTGCTCAGGGCTTTCTCCTGGCTCTGTGCTCAGGGATCACTCCTGGTGGGCTCGGGGACTGTATGTGGTGCCGGGGATCGAACCCCGTGAGCAGGTGCAAGGTCTCTCCCCGCCCGTTCCCTTTGTGTTCAGAGGGAACGGGAGAGGCCTCAGCAGAGCGCTTGGCTGGGGGCCCCAGGTCTCGTCTTGAACACCCTCCCCAGCCCCGTCCTGCCGTTGGACTCCTGTTCTGTCGCCCGGTTGCTTTTTCCAAAAGCGTTTATTTAGAGGACAGATAGGTAGGAGGAATTGGATAAATAAAAAAGTGGACCCGACAGTGGAAGCAGTGGTTAAAGTAGGGACCCGCGAGGCCGAACAACGGCTCAGACGTGGTTCTCGGGAGCCCTGCCCCGGCCAGGTGGCTCTGCACCTCTGGGGACCCCGCGAGGAGCCCCATTTCCGCTGGCACCAAGCACCCGCCCAGCGTCCCCCCACTGCGTGTTCGGGTGGGACGTGCCAGTTGTTGGCAGTGGCGGCTCCTGGAGCTTCAGAGGGGGTGAGGGTGTCCAACTGCGTCCGCATATGGTCCGTCGGGGACGCTCCGCTCCCCTGCCCCTCCCCTCCGCAGAGCAGAACGCAGGCCACTAGCTCTGCGGACAGAAAGCAAAGTTGCAAAGGAGGACAAGAGGCACACCGGCCTCCACTTACAAATATGGGCCCTAGGCTGCCTCACGGCCAGGGGAGGGCAGTGCCCGCTGTGCCCAGGCCTCCCGGCGACCGTCGTCAGCTCTGCAGTCCCGCCTGTGCCTGGGTGCCGCAGCCCCCTCAGTGATGGCGAATGTCCTTGGAATGTCCACAGAGAAGAAAAGGGACGGCACGGAGGGCAGGCTGGCGTCTCACCTCCGGATGTCCGAGTCCTCAGGCTGTCCCCCCTCGCCCTCACTGCTGCTCCCAGGGGCTCCCGGGGCCCCAGGCCCCCATGCAGCCTGGCTCCGGGAGAGGGCGTGGACGGGGCTCCGGCCGCCGCGCTCGCCCCTGGCTCCGCGGCCAGGCTCCCGACCGCCGGGCTCCGCGTCCCCAAGCTGGGCCCTGGTCAGCCGGGCTCTGTCCCCCGGGGGCTGGCGCTCGGGAGCGGCCGTGGGGGGCCTGTGCAGGGCAGAGGTGCAGAAGCTGAGGATGGAGCACAGGCCGCCCCAGCTCTGCTCGCACTGCGCCCGGACGCTGCGGGCCACGGCCGCCCTCACCTCCTCCCCGCACGCCAGCAGCAGGTTCACCAGCTCCACGAAGGGCCTGCGGCAGAGCAGAGAGGCGGGTGAGCGGCCGCTGTGAGGGGTGCCACGGGCTGTCTCTGCAGAGATCCCTGTGGCCCACTGCTCGGGGGGCTCCCGACTCCCCCAGGGGGCTTCTCAGCCTGCACACCAGGGAAGCCGCCCAGAGCCCGGCCCTCAGCAGGGGCAGCAGCAGCAGCGCTGGGAGGGTGTGGGCCAGGCAGAGGGGCTGGGACCTGCCCCCCGACGCGGGGCTGTGTGCAGCGTTGTGCTGGCTGGCGGGCCTTCCTAGGCCTTTTACCTGGGGCCACGTCACGTGGTGCTCAGGCGCCCTGCTCCTGCTCTTCCACGCGAGCCCCTCACACCCCCCGCTCCCTGACTGGTGTCCCTAAGCGGCCGTCCTGCCATCCGTCTGCTGGCACGGGCTCAGAGCCACACGGCCGTGTGCCAGGTGACAGAAGCATGGTCACTGGGAGGGTCTTCCAGGCCGCAGCGGTAGTCTGACTCCCGCCGACCACCTTAGGGGGCCTGGACCGCCCTGCTTCTGTCTCTGTCCTTAGTAAGCTGGCCCGGGGGGGGGGGGGCACCGGGCGGGGGTGAGGTAGGCCCACATAGCAGAGGAGAGGGTGGGGCTCAGTGCCCAGGAGTGTTTGGGTGGCGGGATCTTGGGGCCTTGTGGGGGGGAGGTCCCACCATCTCTGACTGCACATCACAGCCTGGGGACTTGAGGGCCGTGCAGGGCACCAGCGGGGGTGGGGGGGGCGCAGGCGGCCGAGAAGGGCTCTGGCACTGGCTCTCTCGGGAGTGGACCCACAGCTGGGGGAGGGGCATGTGCTCAGCTCCACTGGGATCCAGCTGGCTTGTGGCCTTCCCGGCTGCAGGCTCAGCCACACGGTGACAGAGGCCGGCCCTCTCCACTGGGTGTCCGTGAGGCCAGAGGAGTTTTAAAAATACTTGGAGGGGACGTGGGTGGAGACAGGCAGCGGATGGAGAGGGGAGTGGGGAAGAGGGCACTGAGGGGAGCGGGACTGACCACAGCCTGGACACCAGGTGCTTGGGAGGGAGGGACAGGCAGATTCTGGGGGACTGTCATTTTCCCTTCATCTGGTCGGAGCCAGTGTCCTGTGGACGGGGGTCCTGATCTTGCGGGCCTCTCTGCAGCTCTGTGCTCAGAAGTGCTGAAGTTGGCTCAAGCGCTGGATAACCGAGCCTGGGGGAGCTCAGGCCTCACTGGCGCTGGGTGCCGCATGCCCCCTTCTCCCCCTGGGCACAAGCAGCACCCATTGCTGGGTGTGAGCACTGAGCCATCAGCCCGCACGGCTGGGCTTAATTCAAAGGGGAGCACTGCTCTGAAGATCCCCAGCAAAAACACTGTCCAGTGGTCCCAGGGTATAAGCACTGTCTCCGGTGGTCCCGGGAAGTGAGCACTGAGCCAGGTAGGCCCAGGGAGTGAGCACCGAACCAGCAGTGCTTGTCCTGGCTGCTTTCTGCCCCATGTCTCAGAGGGATGCCCCACAGTCACACTGCCCTGCCTTAGTGATGTGCAGGATTTGGGGAACCCAGAAGGGAGGGATCGACCCCAGCTTGGGGGATCAGTAGAGGCCTCATCCACCGGGGCTCCCAGGGCAAAGTGGGTGCTCCAGTCCTTTGAAGGGGTGGAGCAATGTTCAAAATAATGGCCATCCCACCTCTAAACAGGATGGCCTCGTTTGGTTTCCGGCCCACTCCTGGTGGTGGTCAGGGCTCGCCCCTGGCTCGGTGCTCAGGGACCACTCCTGGCAGGACTCGGGACCCTGAGTCGTGCCAGGGTGAGAACCCGGGTTGGCCCCATGCAAGGCAAGCGCCCTCCTTACTATCACTTTGGCCCCTCAAGAGAATGACTTTTAAGAAGGAATGAGATGTCCTGGGCCAATGAGCGCATTGCTAGTCTGCAGACATGAGTCTGTTTCCCTCAGAGAGGCCACAGAAAGCGGGCGTGCAGTGACGGCTGCTGGCTCCCAGCAGGCTCTGCAGCCAGGGAGGCCGTGCTCGGGTGGGAGGAGCGCGACGGTGCCCAGCTTTGGGCCTCTGAGCGGGTCTGCTGTCTCGTCCAGCCTTGGGGCGGGGAGGCCAGGGCGGCCGGGGCGTGTGCCCAGCTCGTGACAGCCCCGGAACTAGGGGTACGTGGCCCTGGTAAGGCAGAGGCTCTTTCTCCTCCTGGTCTGTCCTTGGTGATTTTGGAAGTGAAGGTGGCACTCTGTGTTCTCTGGCTGAAGGCCAACAGAAAGGAGGGAGGGGTCCCAGGAAGTCCCTGCAGCTCTCCTGGGAAGGGCCCTGCCCGGCGACAGGAGAGGCCGGCCTGGAGAGGGGCTCTGCGCCGAGGCTGGGCACTGGCCTTGCACACAGGGGGCCGGGCTCCTGCCCCGGCCCCACCCACAGGGAGTAGTCTCCTGCCCCCCCCCCCCCCCCAAAAAAAAACCCCAACCAAGAGCCCAGCTCCCTGCAGGGGGCCGCGAGGTGGCTCAGCACGGAGCCCTTACCTGCCTTGCAAGTGGGAGCCCCCGGATCTGATCCCGGCACCATGAAAATGACTAAAGCCACTCCGCCCCTTGAGCGCGACTCCCCGCCGCCGCCCCACTCACTCCTGCAGCAGCAGGTCCTTGAAGTGGATCATGTCGGCCAGGACGTGCGCGTTGGCCCGCGCGGCCGAGCACAGGTCGTACTTGAGGTAGCATTCCCGCTGCAGCTGCAGCACCAGCTCCCGGATGGCCGGGCACTTGCGGCTGATGCAGCCAAAGCGGTGCCGCAGCGCGTGCGCCTTGCACTTCAGGGCCTCTTTGATGAAGGACTTGCCCTGGGACAGAGAGGGGCCATGGGGGGACCCGGTCACTTGCCATGTCCTCGCCACAGCTGGCCCAGGCGGACGTCCTGGTAGGGCAGGCCCTGCGCCACAAGGAGGTCCCTCTGGGGCGGCTTAGCCCCCCCCCACAGTAGACTGACCAGTCTCTCCTCCCTCCCCCTGCTGGGCCTCCTGTGACTGTGTGGCCTCGAGGTGTCCCCACATTGGCTGCTGGTGGTCCTGCCTTGGGGGGCCCCAGTGAATTTCTCCGAAGCTCACGCCTTCCCCTCTTTCTGCCATCCCACCAGCGACACAAGATGGGGTGCTACCCAGCACGCAGAACCCTCAGGTCCACCCGGCACCCACCCCCCACCCCAGTACTGCCCGGGGAGCTCCCCGAACACAGGCAGGAGGGGATGCGCGCGTGCCCCGCTCTCCGCCTGCCCTGCCCCCTCCCGGTGCGGAGCAGGCTTGACTCCATTCAGCTGTCTTGCCTCTCTGAGGCCCTGCTGGCACCCTGCCTGGCAGGGTCCGAGGGAGGCAGCCCAGGGGCTGCCCCGCCCCCACGCGGCAGCCAGGCCGCATCTGGACCCAGTCCTCCCTCTGGCCACCATGCTGCTAGCTTGTCCTTATCCTGGAAGGGAGACAGCTGTCGGGGATGGGCTGGGGGGCCTCCGCTCCCTTATCAACATCCGCCGGGGCACTGTGGGAGAGGTCCCCCAGAGCGCCTCCCCAGGGTCCTCTGCACCCGGTTCTGCAGACAAGCCATGGCGGGGCAGAGACCACCCTGTTTGGGCAGGGGCCCCCGGAGGGACCACACTGACCCAACCTGCGGTTTCTGTTAGAAGCGGACAGTCGGCCCCCTGGGGCGCCCTCCTGGAGGCCGGAGCAGGGCAGTTGTCCTGGTCCTGCCTGCACAAGGTGGGGTGCTTCTCACAGTACCGCCTGGCAGGTGGGTCAGGGAGCCGCCCTGTCCCGGTCCCCTCCTGCCATGGGGTCCTAGACCCCCAGAACGGCAAGAGTGATGTAGGGGGCAGAGCTCCGTGCCCCCTACCCTCAGTGAGGTAGCAGGCTGCTCCCCTTGCAGCCGAGTTTCAAGGCAGCTTTGGGGGCCGGACCTGGGGAAGGGAAGTGGGTCAGGCCCTGCCTATAATTATCATATGGAGCAGGGCTCACTCAGGGCCTGCCTGTGCAGGGTCCCCGCCCTGGGAGCTGATGCAGCTGTGCCCTGCGCCATCCCCCCTGGAGACGCCGAAAACCCTCCCCCCCCCACCTGTGCGAATGGACCTGATCTTCCCCCTGGGAATGGATTGCCACTGTTCTGGTCAGACCCAGCGGCTCTCTACGTCAGGAAGGTCTTTGTTGTTGTTGTTGGCTTTGCACCGTGCCCAGCTGTGCTCTGGGCTTACTCCTGGCAGTGCCAGGGAGACATATGGGGGTCAAACCTGGGTGGGCCGCATGCAAGGCAAGCGCCCTGCCCACTGCATTACCTCCCCAGCCCCTCTGTCCAGGGTTTTTTCATTTACGGGGATCCTGGTCTTCTCCACCAGAATCCTCCATTAATGCCTCGACCATCCCCCTTTGCCCCGGGTCCAGAAGGATGCCAGCTACCCGAAAGTGCCAGCAAGCAGAGCCTGGGGGTGGGGTGGGGGAGACCCGGAACCTCCCCTTCCCCCTTGCAGACATGCATTGGGAATCAGGGCTGGCTCTGTCTGCCCCCTCCTCACCCCCAGCATGTTCCGGATCCTACCTGGGCATCGAACTTCCCCGCATTATGCAGGAAAGTCATGCAGAGTCCATGCAAGCCCTGGATCTCACAGGAGTTGTTCTCGAAACATGCGAACACGCCACAGCCCACGTCGCCGGCACTCACCAAACAGTGCTGGATTTCCGCTGCAAGGAGAAGGATCCAGGACAGAGCTCAAGTTCTCGGCCATGCCGGAGAGCAGGAGGCTGGCTGGGGAGGCGGCTCAGATGTGGGAGCACGTATTGTTCATGTGGGAGTCCCAGGTTTCGTCCCTGGCACCCTAATGCCCCCCCTGGAGTGAGCACTGAACTTGGAGTAGCGTCCAGCCCCCCCCCCCCAGCACCACTGGCCATGGTCCCCAAATAAAGAGGGTAGGGAGAGACTTAAAATTTTAGTGAGGCTTAAAGTTTAAGAGAGAGAGACAGAGAGGAGAGAATCGATTATCGGGTCCACAAGAGCAGGGAAAGCAGAGAGCACTGTCTCATGAGTCTCCTACCTAGAGCTGTTTCTGTGACCAGCTCACCACTGTCCTGCGCCTAACCCCAGCCTAGCCGTGGAAGAGTATTCCACTCTCCGTCTTCCCGCTTAGCCACGGTCACCGTGGGGAGACTGAGTCTGAGGGCAGAAAAGCCAGTGGGGCCTTTCTTCAGGCTGCGGCCAAGCAGAACTGCGCTTCCCAGGGTGGGCTTGTGGGCCCCCCGCGCCGCATCAGGGAACATGCCCCTTTCAGACTCCGGTCTGAAGGAGGCTGTTCTTGAATCCCAGCCATTTCCTTCCTGACCCCAAGTGAGGGCGTCCAGAAAAGCAGTTTCAATTCAGCTTTATGATTCAACACCTAAAAATCAAAACAAAATTCCTATTAAGGCAGCGCCTCCGATCCCTCCACATTAAAAATACCGCGGGTCAGGCAGCTGCGGTTGGTGCGTCCTGCCTGCAGCCGTGCGGGGCTGGCAGCGAGAGGCGGGCTGGAGCTTGTGTGAGGTGTCGCTTGCTCCAGGATTCCTGTGACCCACGCGCCAGCGCACCCCATACCTCTGCTCAGCGTGATTTGTCTTTCTGGAGGGAGAGGGCAGGAGAGGCAGCTGGCCCTCCCTCCCCCTCCCCAATTCCCTGACTCAAACCAAGCACGGGATTACATCAGAAAAGTGTATCTGGGAGAGGGCAGCAGAGAAGCCGAGATCCACACTTGGATGCAGTGTGGGGGGTGGCGGTAGGCTGGGGAGAGGGCCAAAAGTCTAACTTAGAAGTCACAGTTCCGTGCCCAGGTCGCCTGCCGGCAGCTGCGGCCGCTGTGCCGGAGGTGATGGGAAGCTCCCACGCGCTCACGCGCTGCCCGGAGTGCGTGCCAGGCCCGCATTCACACGCTGGGGCGTCCCCAAAGGGCACTCGCGCCCTGCAGGGAACGCACGCACACACCCCCAAGTAAGGGGGGCACCCTCCGGAGCGCAGGAGCTGCAGGCAGATTTCCGTTCTCTCCCTGGAGCTGGGACAAGAGCCAGCCCGGTGCCCTGCACGGCAGCTTGGCGCTGAGCGGAGGGCAGCGGCGGCGCATGGCTGGGGCCGTGGCACCATTCCCGGCTTGCAGACCTGCCGTGGGGCGGGCGGGCGGGCGGCAGCGCCCCGAAGCTCTGCTTTGCATCCTCACCCCCTCCTTCGGAAAGCCCTGTCCTCGAGGGGAAAGTTGTCCGGCAGTTTGTCTTGCTGACCAAGTTACCGGTCGTGGGTATCTTGGAGGCTGGGAAGAGCGTCTTTCTCCGCCCCAGGCCGGCCGTCTGGGGAGAGAAGTTTCTGCGGGTGCCAGCGCGCAGCGCGGCTCTGGGGCCCCTCCTGACCTCCCGAGGGCAGGCGGGCCGGATGGTGCGGGGACCTCGGAGCCGCCAGGGCCGCGTCTGGCGCAGCACATCCACCCTGGACCCCGGGGAGGACGGCAACAAGTCCTGCCCCGGCCATTTCATCACCCGCCGGCACGTGCAGATTCCGGGCGCGCCGAGCCTGGGGCTTTCCTCGGCACGGACGCGCCTCTCGGAGTTTCCCGGCGCGGGCCGGGGGCGCGGCGCGGGCCGGACTCACCTGTGTTCTGCAGGGACAGGCGACCTTTCTGCTGGGATCCCCTGTCCTGAGGACCCTCGGGCGGGTTGGTGGCGTCGGTTCCCCGCGCCGAGTCGAAGGTGGCCAGCACCAGAGCCAGGGTGACGAACTGGCCCAGCCGCTCGGCGCACATGGTTCTCGGGGCGGGCCTCGCGCCCGGAGACCTGGGTTCTTTGTGTTCCTCCCGTGCTCGCCGTGTCCCTCCTCCTCGCGGCCGCGCCGCGCGCTCGGCTGGAGGTTACCCGGCGCCCTCCCGCAGCTCTCCGGAGACCATGTGATCAGGCGCTGGCCGCGCTGCCGAGTGCCGGCCAGCGGCGGGGCCGGTGCCTCAAATATCCCCGGAGGCTCTGGTGTCACTTGAATGAAGGAGTCGAGCAGGTGTTGTCCCGGCGGCTGGGCCAATCCGAGACCCCGGCCCGTTTGACAACGCGGCCGGGAGGCGGGGCCTGCGCCAACCACTACCCGGCGCGGCCGCGAGCGCCCGAAGTTGCCGCGGAGCCGGCGTCCGCGCGTCCGCGCGCGGGTGTGAGCGGGCCGGGCCGAGCGCACGGCCGCGCACGGGAGGGAGGGCGGCGGCGCACCCGCACCGCGCTGGGAAAGTTTCTCTTTCCGCCGCCTGGCATTCCGCGAGACGCCCAGCCCGGAAGCCCTGGCAGATTGGAGGAGTCCTGGGCACCGAGATGCCGGGGACAAACTGAGCACATATGGGAATTCCTGGCGTTGGGACGCTTTCCACTAAAAAAAAGGGGGAAAAAGCCATCCAAACCCAGCGACGCAGGGTAGTGGAGGGAGACGCCGGAGCGCAGGGAGAGGCCGGCTGCAGCTGGCCCCCAAGCCCCGCGCCCGCGCCCCACGCCGCTGCATTCACCCGCCGCCGTCATCCCTCGCCCTGCCTCCACTCCCGGCCGGCCCGGGCTGGGCGGCGGGGACGGTCCAGGTGACAGCCCGGGCTTGCATCACTTCCACGCGGGTGGCAGGGCGGCCGGAGGGAGCGCCAGGGGCCACTCTGCACCACTTCCCCCGCGCGCCCCTCGCCGCTCCGCACCCCGCGTTCCTGTCCCCGCCCGGGCATCGGCTGGAAACGCTCACGAAGACCCCCGCCGCTGAAAATTCACCCCCGGGAACGCGACCCCACCTTCCCTCCTCCTGGTTGCGCCCGCTGGGCGCCCCTGCCTCCCCGCCCCCCGGGGCTGCCTTCCCGCGGGCCGGCCGGCGGGGGACGCGGGGAAAGTTGGGCGCCGCTCGCCGCCTCTTCCCCCCGCTGTGTGCGTACGTGTGCACGCTCACGTCTCGCCGGCGCCGGGCCCGGCCGCCCAGCCGCTCCGGGCATCGCCAGTCGGACGCCGCCGCGCCGGGGGCTCGCCGCGCGGGGGGAGGGCGGGGACGCGCCCGCAGCACGCACCTCACGTGGGGCGCGCGCCGCGCCCCTCCCCCGGGACAGGTGAGCCGGGTACCACCCGACTTCCGCCACCCCCACCGCCCGCCGCCGCGGCTCCGAGTTGGGGCGCCTGGTCCGCGGGCCTGGGAGTGGGGGTGCGGGCCTGCCTTGCATCCGGGCAGGGGGAGGCTGGTGGCACCCACCGCTCTCGTCTTCCCCACCCCGGTGGATGCGGTCAGTAGCCAGCAACCCGCCCCCCCCCCCCCCGCCCCCAAACACACAGCCCAGCTTGGAGGAGTGAGGAGGGAACGGGGTGCCCCACTCCCGAGGCACGCGACCCCGTCCCACCCCAGCCCGTTCGTTTGTCTCTCAAAGCAGCCCCCACCACCAAGTGGCCGCTGTGAAGGTCTCGGCCTGCAATTCGGGTGAGCCGTGGGGATCAGAGTCCCACCTTGACCCCAACATTGCCTGGCATTCGGGGGTGTGAGGTCAGAGGTGGTCAAATTGGAGGCGGTTGGGTCAGTGGTCACACTTTGTGGCCTGCACTGGTGTCCGAGATTTCGAAGGGTGGGCTCTAGAAAGCAGCAGCTGACCGGCGCCCCCAGCGGCATCTGGTCCCTTCCCCCAGAAGTCCCACACTTCCTGGCCTGGCCTCGAGTCTCATGCAGGTGAGAACAGGGGCTTTGGACCTGGGGTGCTGGGGATTCGGATGGTGTGTGTGTGTGTGTGTTTGCAGGGGCAGGGGAGGGGCAGGCCTAGGTGTGCAGGCAGCACCACGCTCCCCTGAGGCTTGACTCCAGGCCACTGGGGTCAAACCTGCTCACATTCGGGCCAGGGTCAGACCCACAGAGAAGAGCCAGTGGGAAACAAGACCAGGCTGGACCACTGGTGTTCAGTGGGTCACACGCTGGGGTGGCCTGAGCAAACAGAAGCAGGGAAGCCTGGTCCCCGCCTGTCGTGACTCTGTTCCCCAGCTAGGTCATGAGGAACACCCGGCTCCAGGTGAGAGGCCGCAGGTGATTCCACTAAGAAGGAGAATTTCGGAACCTGAGGGTGGGCCCAGCCGGTGGGGGGCGGGGGCGCAAAACTGATTTTTCTTGTTCTGGACCTCGGCTCCATTCTTTTGACCCAGGTCTGGTTGGGCCGGCTGTGACCGGGGCTGGGAGCACCTGGTCTTGGTGCTTATTGTGGGAATGCGGAGTTGGAAGCAGCCATGGACCCTGAGACTGCCGTGGGGTTCCCCCTGGGGGGCTTTTGTGGGGAGACAGGATGGCATTTTCCTCGAGTCCAGTGGCTGGTGGGCCTAGAGACACACGCTTCCCGAGTGGGTTCCGGTTTTATTGGCACATCCGGTGGTTGAAGGCGAGGCTCCTGGACCCTGCCGCACCCTTCAGGAATTAGGCTGCCTTGGTGAAGGGTCCTGCAGAGGGCATGGGGTTCTTGGAGGTGGGCTTCCACATGTGGAGGCCCATGTAAGTGGGGCTCTCAGATGGTGGACGAGGCCATTGAGGCAGAGCTGCCCCCGTCCCGCCACGGGTGGGCCGGGGGGTGCGTGGAAATCGTCCCTTCCACGGCTGCCCGCCCGGCGCCGACTGTCTGGCTGAGAGCGCCACCTTCTGGTTGGAGAGGGAATGGCGCGGCCAGACGCCGGCCATCTGGGTCTCCTGCCTTCTCAGTTTCCTTGGCAAATCTGTTTCCTGCCCGTCTAGGCCACCAGCTCCTCACAAGGACATACTTTGAAACGCCTGCACACACCCCGCCACAGCCTTTCACAGGCTTCCTTTGTGAGCTCCAAATGTGCCCCAGTCAGGGTTCTTTTAGCCGCATGTTTTTACCAGGGGAAGTAAAGATTCCAAGTGAAAGGGACAGACAAAATACTCGCCGCCGACAGTGGCCACAGTTCCTGAAAGCCCAGCTCTCTCCTTGGGTAAACGGGCCGCCGCTTTATGAAATAGAAATTAGGCTGGGGAGATGGTCTTCGATTCTTTATTAGGGATGCGAGAAAATTCTACCAAGGGCTTCATGAGATGGTGCCAAGATGTTAAGAAAGCGTTTGCTTGGGGCGGAGAGGGAGTGCAGCTGGTAGGGCACTTGCCTTGCATACTGCTGACCTGGGTTTGGTTCTCAGTACCCAGATGGTCCCCTGAGCTCTGCCAGGAGTGATCCCTGAGCACTGCCAGGACTTGCCCCCAAGAGCTAGGAAAGCTTTTGAGTAGGTGGGAGAGATTGCACAGGGTTGAGATATTTACCATGCTCGGGGCTGTGCCAGACATTCTCTCTAGGTCCCAATTTCGGAGTCATGCCGTAGATGGACTGGAAACGCAGGAAATCAAAAGAATGGCTTAAAAACAATCCCAAGAGAATAGGAACACTGTATCCCTCACAATCAATCCATTTACTGGAATGAATACAAAGCACTAAACAGCCACATCTGATGCTGGTTGAGTTTGGTTAGTGCCTTGCTCAGAAGCCTGACAGTGTCCCGGAAGCCCCTCTCGGTTCTCCTTGGCTCATCATAGTTGCTTCCTCTTAGGTGCGGAGGTGAACTTCCTCCCTGGTGTGTGTGCGCGCGCGCGTGTGTGTGCGTGCCTGGGGTGGGAGGGGGTCCCTTCTCCACGGGGAATGCTGGTGCCCCAGCCCCAGGAAGCGTGTCATGAGTCTGAGGGGCTCTCTGGCTGGTTTCAGGTTTGTGCTGTGTTGGGCGGGGGAGATGGAAGAGGTTTTGCTGAGTTCCCTGAGCACTGCCAGGATCCCTCCCCAGCCGGGAGTAGCCCCGGCCCACACCAGGAGTGGCCCTGAAACAAAAAATAAGCAAACCCAGGGTGCACTAGGGACTGTGGAGGCTGCATGGCGAAAGGGGCGTGGGGGCCCTGTGAGTCTGCTTTCCTGGTTTCCGTGGGCTGCCCTCACAGGGCTCGACCTGCTTCCCACTCCTGGTCACGCGGTGCTGGGGATCAAACCCAGGCCTCCCAGATGCAAAGCCCGTGAGAGCTGGAGTTTGAAACCCTTCCTTAAATGACCTTACAAAGAATATAATTCACAGTCTATACTCGTTCTCAATGGTGTTTTTTTTGTTGTTCTCAATGTTTGTTTTTGAGGGTTTTTTTCCCCCCTTAGCATTTCTGTTTAATGAATTTGGGGGAGGGGTGAAGAGGAAACGTTGACAGTGCTCAAGGATTACTCCTGGCTCTGTACTCGGGAATCACTCCTGATGGACTCAGAGGGACCACATGGGATACTGGGGATGGAACCCAGCTCAGGTGCACGCCAGGCCGGTGTCCTTACCTGCTGTATTCTCTCCAGCCCCTGCAATTTTTGGGTTTTTTTCGCATTCTTTTGAGGTTTTTTTTTTCTTTTTGGGTCACACCCGGCGATGCTCAGGGGTTACTCCTGGCTCATGCACTCAGGAATCGCTCCTGGCGGTGCTCAGGGGACCATATGGGATGCTGGGAATCGAACCTGTATCGACCATCTTGGCTGCGTGCAAGGCAAACGCCCTACCCGCTGTGCTATCACTCCAGCCCCCTCTTTTGAGTTTTTTTGCTTTGAGCTACACCTGACAGTGCTTGGGCACTACCCCCTGTGCGCGCTCTCTCTCTCTCTCTCTCTCTCTCTCTCTCTCTCTCTCTCTCTCTCTCACCCTTTTGTTGATTGTTTTGTTTTTGGGTCACATCTGGCGGTGCCCAGGGATCACTCCTGGTGGTCCTCAGGGCAAATGTAGTGCGGTGATCAAACCTAGATCAGCAGCATGTAAGGCAAGTAAGTGCCTTATCTCTTGAGCTATCTCTCTGACTCTCTTTTGTTCTTTTTTAAAGCAGATTCTAGAGATCAGAGAGGACAGTTTCATTGTTTGCTAATTGATTTCATAAGTTTTTAAAATTTTGTTTTAGGTACCGTGGTTTATAATACTGTTAACGATAGCATTTCATGCATTACACGAGTCATCACCTGACCCAGAGTGTTCATTCTCTCCTCCCCCTCCGTCTTCTCCATCCTGATCGCCACCCCCCGCCCATCCTGTTCCCCATTTGCTCTGGGCATTTGTTAGCTCCTTACTATGTTCCTTCACGAGGGAGGTCATTCTCAGCCTGCCCCTCCC